TAAAAAGAGTACATATAAATGGGGACAGGAGGACAGGGACGGTAGGCACGCTGGTGTGCTTATGCACGCCCCCTTAGTTAGGGACCTCTTAAGAAACACATAAGGTCCACGGTAGACAGCTGAAGGTAAAAGGTATGGGGGTTAGAGGAACTAACAACAGGATCGGGTAGGTTGTTCCATACATTTACTCCTCTATTGCTGAAATTGTTTTTCCTGCAATCAGGATTAGAACGGATTACACTTAGTTTGTATCTATTGATAGCCCATGTGTTATTGCAGTTGAAGTAAAAGTAGCCATTAGAAGAATAATCCCAAATCATCTCAAAATAACAGGTGAAATTAACCAGGGAGCCTCCCTTGGGCAAACAGATGCCTCCTCGATGTGATGGCTCTTCGTAATATATGGCTATGTTATCCCACCAAATTATCCCAGTGTGTGCTATCAATATTAAAATGGCCATTAGGTTATGAACAGAGTTAAGTTCAGTCAGACTGGCTGACTGATTATGCACCTTCCTTCAAGAAAGGGAAGCTCCACCTGTCTCAGGGATGGAGATAATAGGAGTAACAATCGGAGCCTCTTGAGAAGCAGCTGTAGAGAGAGCTGGACCAGAAAGAGAGAGCTGTAGGGTATTTTTTTTGGGGGGGGGGCCTCAGAACTAGGCTTTTTGGTAAAAAAAAAAAGATGTCCACTTCTCCGATGTTTGCAGAAAAGGTGACGAGCTACCTCAGGCATCTGCTCAGGTGGTTAAAAGTGTCCTGGGTTGCAGACAGGTGGAGCAAGGGGTGGTGGTGGTGAGCAAATAATTTATCCCCTCTCCAGGAGTTCTTCTCTAAGAGACCCTCCCGAGCATCATACACTAGTGTAGTAAAGACCACACATTCGGTGCAGTGGGAAGAATCCTCTGCTAATAACTCAGATCATTTTTATCGAAGGATAAATATTTATCTGCCTCAGGGAGTCTCGCGTGGATCTGCACTGTAGTGTTTCATGGCTTGGTCATTCGCATGTTTATCTCTAGAAAGATGCTAGCTTGGCCTTTTAAATGTTGACTAGATGGCAGTTCGCTGGAATAGCAAGAATTTTCCAGATAAACTGCAGCAGCCAAACACCAGGCATGCGGAAACATAAAAAAGTAAATACCACAAATTGTTCCTTATAAGCCCAAGGCAGCCATCAAGAATTCAGGATTCAATTGGTCTCTGTGAAGCCTTGACTTTTCTACCCATTACCTAATCTATCCCTGAAATGAGGTAAATGTGCCACATTGGGCAGCGTTTTGTCATTCAGTCTAAGCCAGTATTTCTTAGGGATACTAGAATCAATATGGGGAGCTTCTGAAATGAAACTAGGAAGAAGGTAGTCTTTTATATAGTCTTGATACTTATAAAGCTGATTTGGTGAATACATGTACACATGCATATGTTGTGGTATGTGTATTTCCTTGATCTCTGAAATCAATAAAAGAAATTGCTCAATTTGTCACAACAGAAAACAGAACTCCTGAAATTATATTGTTGGAAATTAAAAAGAAGTAATTAGATTTCTCTCTTGATAAATATTAGGATTAGGGCCAATAATTATTTCGTACCCTGCATATACCATATAGATGTATAAACAAAGGAATTATTATAGAAAAACATTAAAAAATTATTTTTTCCATCTTGCCCGAAAATTTATGTCTGGATATTTCTTAATTTTCTCTTCCTAATTCTCAAATCATAAAATAGATTTATATAAAGAATAATTGTAAGTGATATGTCAGTACTAAGTTTTACATTCGGCGCCTTGAATCTCATAAACAATATGACATTTTGAATTACGACTCTTAATGCTTGCCTCAAATTTTCCCATAATCTTGTTTTCGTATACTTTCTGGATTTAAAAGTTGTGTGAATAGAACTGAGGTTCCAGAGAAGTGGTAGTTTGCTATTTGCTAGATGTTTTAAAGCCCAGAATCTGGTATGTTTTAATGTGGACTCCTTCACTAAGAGATGGCTAGATTCAAATAGGTTGAAATGGCAGAGAAATTTAAATTAAACATTAAATACTGAATTTTCAATACTACTACTACAACTACTACTTCAAGTTGTCACCAATATGGCCACATTGCAATAGGGTAGGTTAAAGGAGAAGTTTCCAACATGGCCCCACACCATTAAACAGCTATTATTTGGTTTTGCTCATTTAGTACTTTTATTTCCCCTTCCCTCCTTCCTTTTTTCAAAGGGGAGAAAATTGCAAAATTGGCTAAGATGCTTCCTTTTGTCCCAATTACTATTTGTCTAGATACAATATAAATTCTTTGACCATCAGCGCCCAAGTATCCCTGGCCACTTTATTCCCTCCGCTGCATACCTGACAGTTTTCTTTGTCAACTTTGTTCCTTATTTTTTTTTGAAGCAGTGGGTAATCAATAAAAGAGTTAAATAAAGCCACTAATGAGATATGTACAGAAAATGTCTCTGCTCTGATCAAATTAGTCTAACTGGAGAAACTGTCATAGGAATATCACATAGCAAATCCTTGGAAAACATGGAAGTGTCCTTCTAGAAAGAAATTAAGAGTATTCCAGACCTTTTTGTGCTGTAGTATTTTATCTTAAGAGAAATGGGGGAATTTTCTGATGATACAAAAATGTAGTTGAGTGTGTGTGTGTTATCAATGATGCGTCAGGATACTTGGAGGAAGAACTAGTTTTTTGAAAAGGGCAGCTACCAGTGATTAATAGGATAAAATTCCTCATACCTTAATTGTTTGTCAAACTAGGTGGTAAATTACAGTATAGCAAAAGTAGGCAGGTTTTATTGTTACACAGGTAATACGACACAAACATATCCTCAAAAGAATTCCAACCCTAGAGATTAGAAATAGCAAGAATGTCATTTCTGTGCTTCAAACAGCGGGGGACACTAATTTATGGAAATTACGTGTAGATTTTCAATATCTTTATAATTTTTTTG